CCAGCTAATTTTTGTATTTTAGTAGAGATAGGGTTTCACCATGTTGGCCAGGATGGTCTTGAACTCCTTACCTCAAGTTATCCAGCCGCCTTGGCCTCCCAGAGTGCTGGCATTACAGGCATGAGCCACCATGCCTGATGTGCTTTCTTTTTTTTTGAGACAGGGTCTCACTCTGTTGCCCAGGCTGGCATGCAGTGGCACAATCATAGCTTACTGCAACCTCGACCACCTGGTCTCAAGCAATTCTTCTGCCTTAGTGTCCCATGTAGCTGGGACCACAGGCACATACTACCACGCCTGGCTAAGTTTAAAAAATCTTTTGTAGAGACAAGGACTCACTTTGTTGCCCAGGCTGGTCTTGAACTCCTAAGCTCAAGCAATCCTCCCTCTTTGGTTTTCTTAAGTGCTGGGGTTACAGATGTGAGCCATCACGTTGCCAGGGTTTGTTGTTGTTTGTTTGCTTAGTGACTATTCTGAACTAATTTTGTAAGGCTTGTGTTCTTTGCCATGTGTGGCCAGTGAAGTTCTCCTGGGTTAGCTTAATTGTTAGCTAATGTTTGGACAGATTTCTGTAAATACTTGGAACCAATAAACGTCCCAATCTTTGATGTGAGACATGTCTTATTTTTTCCTGTTCTAGTCCCTACCAAAGCTCAGTTTGTTATACCCAAGCAGGTTAGATGGAACAGTGCCATGCTCTGAGTTTGAAATTAAGAGTCCTTTATTAATTAGCTGGTGACCCAGAGACAGCTAACACTCAAAATTCTCTTGGCCCTGAGGAAGGGGCTGGATTCCTTTTTATACCTTGCTTAAGGTAGGGGAGGGGGAGCCTAGCTGGAGCAGAATTTACAGAAGCAGAACAAGCATGTTAGATAAGGAGGCTGGCAACTAGGAGGCAGGAAGTTCTCCTGATTGTTGATTTTCAAGGAGGGTATACACAAGTGGTTCCCATGATTGCTGGTTACCAAGGGGGGTATTCAGTACTTGTCATATAATCAATCAAGGGGGGCATTCACAATGGTAAGTGGGCTTGCCAAGCAGGGTATAGTTACAAAGGTTATATGTTTCCATAGTTCTAAGTACAGCATGACCCAGCACAGTAGCAAGACCTAGGTATGCACTTAAGGGAGAAGCAGCAGAAGGGGTGAGGTGGATGTTAAGATGGAGTCTGTCTGGCTCTCAGCAAAATGGACTCTGTCTGGCTAACACAGGTAGGTCAGCACAAATTTGGCTACTGAATTTCTTTTTATAAAAACAGGCCATTCAGTCCTTCCTACTTGTCCACTTGCCTTCTTGCTTGCCTTTGCAACTAGGATCACTGGCTACCAGGACTCTGAGTTGGGCTCTGCTCATCCTTTGGGATGCCACACTGATTCTTGGGGTTTGGATGTCAACCATGTCCAAACTGCTTGATTGTGGTGATTTGTTTGTTCAGGCCTAGTGGACATCAGTTATTTGATGACCTGAATACTGCATGGAGATAATGGCCACATAAATACCTAGAACATTTACTAACCTGATGGTGGATATGCTGGGGGAAGTCCTATGGATACCATGGGGATTTTTTGGCCATTGTCCCTAGGTACTCCCGTGAGTGAGTAGGAGATCATTGTGTCCACCTGGCTGGAGTTGTGACTTGCTGGGGTTCATAGGGAGTGAATATGGGGGTTAGTACCAGGGGTGAGTGCGTATTCTTTTCTGGAGCCCCAGAATCCATGGGCATGAGCTTCTGGGCTGTGTGACAGGTGTCTGCTGAGATTACGATGGAACAAAGCAGAACAGTCTTGTCTCCAACTAAGAATTAGATAATCTCAGTCCTCCAGGAGATAGGAGGTTTTCCTCCATTTTTATTATGTGATTTTGAAGAAACCCCCTTTTTCTTTCTTTCCTGAGTCTATTTGAGTATCTCCAGAGTCGGGGACTTTACCTTTTCATTTCCACACAGTGTGACCCATGTTGGATAGGGGCTTTAGACTTTTCTTTCTTGTGTTCATCTCAGATCTTTCTCCTTTTGCTTCTATTCACTGGTTCCAGTGTTATTCTTGGATGCTTCTTGGGAGTCTTTCACTGCCTGCCCTTTGCTTAGGGATAGGTGGGCTATTCTTTGATGGGCTAGGCTTCTGCTGAGACTGGTATTTGAGGAAAATTTCTGGGTGGCCACATTCTGGATGATTATCTTCTTTCTGGCTAAGCGGTTCATTCATTCTAGGCCCCAAACATCTCCAAGTTCCCTGAGAAGTGCAGCTAATTGAGGGTAGCTCACTCTGGCTCCTGTTTGCTATACTTGGGTGGGGAGGATAGCACTATATGTCCCAAAAGCCATGGTTTGTTGTTGGTAGTAGGGTGATCGGCTAAGCAGTTCTTATTAGGTGTGTGATGAAAATCCTCTTTCATGCCCAGAGCCTACATGTTCAGGACTGACGAGTGTCCTCTGATTCCTCTGCAGGAGCTGATCGACCTCAAGATGATTCAGTGTAAGAGAGTTGTCAATGGTGAGTACAGATCTGGCTCCAGAATTATGCATGTGCCCTGCTGGGCTTAAGCAGCACTACCACTGCCCTTGCCTGGGGTGACAGTATCTTGCCTGGCTTCATTGAATAATTTTGTAGATCACATGCTCCCTTGAGAGCAGTCACTGCTCTCCAGAGGCCATGACAAAAAGCCAGATGTGAAACAGGCTAAGAGTGCCTTTCATTCACAGGCATGCTGGGATAGAAATCACCATGTAACATAGCACAGGAGGGACTCTAGGAGCCTTGCAGTCGGGATGGCTTTAGCATTGGCCCTGGCTTGGCCACTTGCTAGGTGTATAACCTTGGGCAAGCCATAAAACCTCTGTCTGCCTCAGCTCCTTTAACTGTAAAATGAAATCATAGTCATTGCTTTACTTAAATCATAGGGTTGGAGTGAGGACCAAATAAGTACTGTGCACACCCTATGCTCTGTGCAAATGAGGCTGATTCTGCTTTGATTAGAGTTGTAGTATGTTCCTTGAGGTTTTTGATACATATGTATATACTTGTGAAATTTTTTTTTTTTTTTTTGAGATGGAGTCTTCCTCTGTTGCCCAGGCTGGAGTTAAGTAGGGTAATCTCAGTTCACTGCAACCTCCGTCTCCTGGGTTAAAGCGATTCTCCTGCCTCAGCCTCCCGTGTAGCTGGGAACCACAGGTGCCCATCATCACAACTGATTGATTTTTGTATTTTTAGTATAGATGGGGTTTCACCATGTTGGCCAGGCTGGTTTTGAACTCCTGACCTCAGTTGATCTGCCCACCTCAGCCTCCCAAAGTGCTGGGATTACAGGCCTGAGCCACTGCGCCTGGCCTGCTTGTGAAATCTTTTCTTTTGAGATGGAGTCTCACTCTGTCACCCAGGCTGAAGTATACTGGCACGATCTTGGCTCACTGCAACCCCTTTCTCCTGGGTTCAAGCAATTCTTCTGCCTCAGCCTCCTGAGTAGCTGCGACTACAGGTATGTGCCACCATGCCCAGCTAATTTTTGTATTTTTAGTAGAGACGGGATGTCACCATATTGGCTAGGCTGGTCTTGAACTCCTGACCTTGTGATCTACCTTCTTCGGCCTCCCAAAGTGCTAGGATTACAGACGTGAACCACAATGCCTGGCCAAAATCTTTTTTTTTTTTTTTTTTTTTTTTTTTTTGAGACGGAGTTTTGCTCTTGTTACCCAGGCTGGCACGATCTCGGCTCACCGCAACCTCCGCCTCCTGGGTTCAGGCAATTCTCATGCCTCAGCCTCCTGAGTAGCTGGGATTACAGGCACGTGCCACCATGCCCAGCTAATGTTTTGTATTTTTAGTAGAGACGGGGTTTCACCATGTTGACCAGGATGGTCTCGATCTCTTGACCTCGTGATCTACCCGCCTCAGCCTCCCAAAGTGCTGGGATTATAGGCGTGAGCCACCGCGCCCGGCCTACCTGGCCAAAATCTTAATGGTAGTTTCACTAGAAGTTATGACACAATTTTGTCGATTTTTTTTTTTTTTTTCTGGAGACAGAGTCTCACTTTGTTGCCCAGGCTGGAGTGTAATGGCGTGGTCCTGGGTCACTGCAACCTCCGACTACCAGGTTCAACCAATTCTCCTGCTTCGGCTTCCCGAGTAGCTGGGACCACAGGCACTCAATACCACACCCAGCTAATTTTTATATTTTTAGTAGAGACAGGGTTTCATCCTGTTGGCCAGGCTGGTCTTGAGCTCCTGACCTTGTGATCCACCCACCTCAGCCTCCCAAAGTGCTAGGATTATAGGCGTGAGCCACCACACCCAGCCAAATTACTTTAAATGTATATATTTTTTCTGTGTGATAAAAAAGTCAATGTTATAGATCTGTGTAACCTAGAAAATAAAAATCCTCCATAATCCTACACCTAAAGAGGTAATCAGAAAGAGGAACAATGTGTGTTTCTCTCTATATATAGTAAGTAATGTGTATGTACAAAATATGATATGTTTATGTATATCCCTCTTCTAGATCGAGGTAGTGTTTGGATAAGGAGAAAAAAATGTGGGGGTGTGTGTATATATATATCTCCCCACCCCCTGAGATCATACAACACATGTTGTTTTGCCATTTACTTTTCTATTAGGATATCTGCCCATGTCAGTACCTATAGGTGACTATGTCAGAATTGATTTTACCAGAGCCTTAACAGGGGTTCCCGGTATTTTGCTGTTATAAACAGAGTTGCATTATAAACACACAAAGATTTCTTGGTTACTTCTTATTGCCAATCATGAGCTTTTTCTGTCAGTGATCACTTTGATTACCTCTCTCAACATTTCATTGCCTTTACCCCACCCTTTTAAACTTTCTAATTTGTTGAATGCTGGGATGATAATAACAGTTTCCATGTATGGAAATGCTTTAAGTGCATCAAAGATCTCATTTATTTCTCAAGACCACCTTTGGAAAGGCATATTCTCCCTTCTGCCATGTTCATGTATAGTCATCTTTAAAAGCTAATAATGGTAGCATCTATTGTGGAGCTTCTTTGGGAAGCTGACAGATAAAATACAGTCGCTTCTCGTTATGTGCAGTTGTTATTTCTATAAAGGTGCTGTGAACATTAAATGAGCGGATACTGAACCAGTGACCCTGGGGGAAATATATGGTTAGGTTTGTGCAAGCCTATGTTCATATTTTCATCAACTTATCAGTCCATAACCTTGTTTTGTGTGTGTTTTTAAATTTTTCTTTGGTTTCTTTTTTGCGACGAGGTCTCACTCTGTTGCCCAGGCTGGAGTATAGTGGTGTGACCATAGCTCACTGCAGCATCAAACTCCTGGGCTCCAATGATCCTCCTGCCTCAGCCTCCCAAGTAGCTGGGACTTTAGGTGCACACCTTCATGCCTGGCCAATTTTTTTTTTGTAGATAGAGTCTCGCTCTGTTGCCCAGGCTGGAGTGCAGTGGCGCCATCTTGGCTCACTGCAACCTCCACCTCCAGGTTCAAGCAATTCTCCTGCCTGAGCCTCCTGAGTAGCTGGGATTATAGGCACGTGCCAACATGCTCGGCTAATTTTTTGTATTTTTAGTAGTGAATATTACCATGGTTTCACTGTGTCAGCCAGGATGGTCTCCATCTCTTGACCTTGTGATCCTCCCACCTCAGCCTTCCAAAGTGCTGGGATTATAGGCGTGAGCCACTGTGCCTGGCCTACCTGGCCAATTTTTAAATTTGTTGTAGAGATGGGGGTCTTACGATGTTCCCCAGCTGGTTTCAAACTCCCGGCTGTGTGTTTCTGTTTAAAGGCATATTATTTAATATATACCATTGATTAACATTGAACCCACTAACATGGGTAATATTGCTGTAATTTCATGCCTGAACAAAGCTTATTCAACATGTGTATTTTCTCCATAAGGCCCATGACAGTCTTCTTGTGTTTAGGAACATTAGACAACGTTTCAGCAGTATGCTTGGGACCATTTTATTTTATTTTTTTTGAGACAGAATCTCACTCTGTAGCCCAAGCTGGAGTGCAGTGGTGTGATCTCAGCTCATTGCAACCTCCGCCTGTCTGGCTCAAGTGATTATTGTCCCTCAGCCTTCCAAGTAGCTTGGGCTACGGGCGTGTACCACCATGCCCAGCTCATTTTTTTTTTTTTAAATTTTAGTAGAAACTGAGTTTCACCATGTTGCCCAGGGTGGTCTCGAATTCCCTGACCTCAGGTGATCCACCCATCTCAGCCTCCCAAAGTGCTGGGATTACAGGTGTGAGCCACCACACCCAGCCGCTTGGGACCATTTTAAACAGTGAGATCACCAACAAAAAGCATAAATATGCAGAAGTGTGGCAGGAAATACACCACAAAAAGGACTCTTGTTGACAGTATGAGAGCTGAAGGGAGAAGGCTGAGCATCACCTTGTTTGATCTCAGCTAGGAGTATGCACATCAGGCAACTCAAACTTTTTTTTTTTTTCTTAGGATGTATCAGATATTAGCAACTCAAAACTTTCACCACTCTGTGCCTGTCCTTGGATGACCATGAAAACATCTCAAGTATTGATTTTGGGGTCACAAATAAATGTTAACAAAGAGGCACATTCGCAAATATGGAACTATGAATAGCAATGGAGATGACTGTAATATAGTAACCTTCCACTCACAGGACCTGTCTTACTGTAAGTAGATAGTAAATTTGCTGAACGTCAGAATGACGTTTTCTGGGAAAATTTGGGCCAAATCTGAAACATAGACAAACTTCCACGTATGTACATTAAAAAATTTTTTTTAGATCGAGCCTCTCTTGCCCAGGCTGGAGTGCAGTGGCGTGGTCTCGGCTCACTGCAACCTCTGCCTCCCAGGTTCAAGCAATTCTCCTGCCTCAGCCTCTTGAGTAGCTAGGATTGCAGGCACCCTCCACCACGCCCAGCCACTTTTTGTGTTTTTAATAGAGATGGGGTTTTGCCATGTTGTCTAGGCTGGCTTCGAACTCCTAACCTCAAGTGATCCACTCATCTTGGCCTCCCAAAGTGCTGGGATTATAGGCATGAGCCACTGTGCCCAGCTATGTATGTACGTTTTGTTTCAAAAAAAAATTTTTTTTTCCTGAGACAGAGTCTTGCTCTGTTGCCCAGCAAAATGGAGTCTTGCTCTGTTGCCCAGCAAAATGGAGTCTTGCTCCGTTGCCCAACCTCTGCCTCCCAGGTTCAAGTGATTGTCCTGCCTCAGCCTCCCAAGTAGCTGGTATTACAGGCATGCCCTACCACGCCTGGCTAATTTTTGTATTCTTAGTAGAGACGGGGTTTTACCATGTTGGCCAGGCTGATCTCAAACTCTTGATCTCATGATCCACCTGCCTCGGCCTCCCAAAGTGCTGGGATTACAGGTGTGAGCCACCACATCTGGCCCTGTTTCAACATTTTAAACATTGCAAAATGTTAACCACCATTCAGAAAAAGTGCATTAAACACAAACATACAGTTTAACAAATAATTGCAAAACGAACAGCCATCACCCAGGTCAGGAAATAGACCATCCTTATAATCACAGGAGACTCCCACGTGTATAGTATTTTTGGTAAGAATGGTATACATTTAGGATCTCTTTCCCTTCCAAGCTCACACTCTGGCTGTGTTTTCTTACAGGGCTTAGGCTAGGGTTGAACTTTTATTTTCATTGAGTGGCCCTGTGTGTTGTGTTTTCTTGCAGAGGTGCTCAGCACAGTGGACTTTGTTGCCCCTGATGATCGAGTTGTCTTCCGCACCTGTGAAAGAGAGCAGAACAGGGTTGTTTTCCAGATGGTGAGAGACCCCATTGCTGCATGTCCTCCTGAGGCTCACCATCCCCTGGGATTTCCCAACTCATCCTTGGTGCCAGGCCAGTGTTGAATGGCTGGGCTACATTGCACAACCGTGGCTTCCTGAAGACTCCACTTTAATGTTTTCCAAAGGGCCAGTCATGAGTGATTACACTATTGGAGACAGTTTAAGGAAATCAAACTATCATAGTTTTATATGCCTCTAGTCTCAAGTTTAATTTACTTACTTGTAGGAATTGTCTGTTTGGCCTGATTTCTCTATTTTTAAATCCCTAGCATTGATTACTCAGATCATAGTCTTTGTTTTCATGTAGTGTATGTATATTTCTCATAGAAAGAAATTAGGATTCCTCAAGAGTAGTTAGGATTTGTTTTTGAGTTGTGATGACGCTATAGTGCTCTTCTCTCACTTTGGGCATTTCTTGGTGCTTTTTCAGAAACATCCTGAATGATGTTTAGGTTTCTAAAAAATTGATAACAGCCAGGTGCAGTGGCTCGTGCCTGTAGTCCCAGCTACTCGGGACGCTGAGGTGGGAGGATTGTTTGAGCCCAGGAGTTTTGGGCTGTAGTGCACTATGCCAATTGGGTGTCCGCACTAAGTTCGGCATCAGTATGGTGACCTCCCAGGAGCGGGGGACCACCAGATTGCCTAAGGAGGAGTGAACTGGCCCAGATCAATGGAGCAGGTCAAAACTCCCGTGCTGATCAGTAGTGGGATCGTGCCTGTGAATAGCCACTGCACTCCAGCCTGGGCAACATAGCGAGACCCCATCTCTAGAAAAGAAAAAGGAAAATTATTAAAAAAAAAAAAAAAGAAAAGAAAAAGAATTGATAACGGGTAAACATGTGATAAGGCAAATCTAGCAAAATATTAATTGTAGCATCTAAATGGTGGGTATTTGAATGGTCACTATCAAATGTTTTAAAGTTTTTGATATGTTTGAAAGTAATCATAGTATTGATAACATTTTCTAGACCCTCAAAGTTTGCCTTTTTCTTCTGGCAGTGAGCTAGTCTAGTGGGCTGCCCGTTTAAGAGAAAGCCAGACTGACTCTTGTGTTTGGGGGGTGTGTGTGTGTGTGTGTGTATGTGTATGTGCACTGCATGAGTGTGTTTGTCAGTGTATGTGTACCTGTGTCAGGACAATGATTGATGCAACCTTTTTTGTATTCCCAGGGGACTTCAGATGCAGAGCGAGCCCTTGCTGTGGCCAGGCTTGTGTAAGTTCCTCCTCCATCTTTTTTTTTTTTTTTTTTTTTT